CTGAACTCTGTGGCTGGGCTCTGTGGCCCGGCTCTGTGTCCGGGTCTTGTCCTCCTCTTCTCCTTGTCTTGGCCGCGCCCCTGAACTCTGTGGCTGGTCTCTGTGGCCCGGCTTACTGGAGAGGAGTGTGGCCGAACAAATAGCGATGTCAATGCCGACAAAAACTCATTGATGAAACAGTTTGCTCTTGTGGGGCGTACCAAGAAATCGATTTTTGACTAGCATTGGTCTAAACGAATCGTTTTGAAGCTGTTTTGGGGTCCATGCCTGTATAATTTGTTTCAGAGCTTTCAGTTCTGCAATCAATTGTTCGAGTGAGTTCTCAAACAAAGGACAACACATTCGTCGAGGTTCGGCTGGACTCTTGAGGTCCACCCTGTCTAATCTTGGAGCAATGTCTTCCATCGGGGCCTCTTGGGTCATATTCTGGAATCCAACACCTAATGGAATTGTCGGCAGACAAACTTCGATCGTGAGATGTCTTCGATAGCCCTACGGAGCTTGTTCAGGTGTCCTTTGGACTCATGCTTCCACCACCACCGCATGCAACCGATTGCCTTCGTTGGTGACCTTGTTTGAAGTGGAGGACGAGCAGGAAGATGAGGAGTACATGGGTTTGGCACTTTTCCTGTCATTGAGTGAGTGTGGTTTTTTCGCCCCTTGACTTCGCTTTTTAGCAACTTGTGTTTTCGTCACCTTGGGTGAGCCAAAAAAAGGTGAGGTTGATAGGATCCCGGCAGTAGTGGGTTTCCATCCACTTTTCCATTTGAGGGGTGCCTCGGGTCTCCCCATTTGTGAGAGTGGGTTCTTGGCCAGGTTTGGGATACTTGCATCACTGTGGGCATAGTGCAGAAATTTTTGTACTTTACAGCAGCCATGGCCGGAACAGTCGGCTTTCAATCTGGAGCCCTGAATTTCCAGAATTGATCCACTTTCTGAGCCAATTCAGGCACTCAACCTGTTTGGGGTGCACTATATCCCGACCTCGAAAGTTTTCTGCGGCTTTATTTTCCAGGCAAAGCCGATTTTTCACAGTGGGGGTGGCTGGTGCCGAACTGCAGCAAATTGTAGGTGAGGGAGCAATGTATTTTGTAGACGGGCAACGCAAAGAAGCCACCACATCCCTGTGCATTGAAATAGATGTCTGCAATTGCTTCAAGATGATTCACGGTTTAGCCATGTACAGGCAAATTCGAAGGATAATATGCTTATGTTTCAAATCATCGAACAGCAAATTCGAAGGATGTACACTCCCAGAAATCATGAACGTGGGCAATGGGCCCTCACGTGACAATTTTCCTCCACAAACAGGTGGTTTTCCACTTCCATGCCCGGAGTGAACATTTTGCATGACATCTTGCTGGAAGATGCTTCGTGGACCAGCGGCTACTCATTGATACTTGGATGGCGAGGTGTTTTTGCTTGGGGAACCTGGTGTTTGTCATAGAGCAAGTTCAGGACTCCGAGGTACCCTCCACAAACTACCCTTTTTGAAGTTCCTCTTTTCACCTCTGGCTGTTTCCAGTGCAGCGGTGCTGGTTTCGTTCCGAAGGGCACGAGCTGGGCGCCAACATGTCATCCGACCCGATTTGTCCACACCTTTCGAGAGAGGCTTGGTGGTGTGGTGAGATGTCGAGACATTCGGCCTTTTGGGGCCACAAGAGTGACTTCTGAGTGCAGCGAGTTGGGGTCGCGGAGCCAGTTCTGTAAGGGGACAAGCTCTGGGCCTATCCGGCCCAAATCGTGCCAATCTTTCTTCGGCCTTGCCTCCGCGAAGGCTTGGTAGCTCTTTTTGAAGACTTGCTTTGTCGATCACCGTCGGCGCGGTACGCCCTATGCGCGTCTTGAACGCCTGCTCATCTGCATTTGAGACCATGTGCCCCCCCGCACTGATTGGTGACCATGTGTTGTTGTTTCTGTTTCGGGTGTTGGTTCGATTGCAGAGCTTGAAAGGGTTTCAGTCAACTTTTGTGGACCCTAGCATGTAACAGCATGTAGCATGTACAATCATGTCAAACACGGTTCACCAAGGACATTCCACATGTTATATCCCAACCGTGACTTTATGGCTCAAGAAAACAAGTGCTTTGGCTTCATTCACTTGTTTTCAGGAAAGGTTCACACTCACCAACCACTTGCCCGCAGCACGGGACCAAGTGTTCTGACACCCTCCTTGCTGTGCCTTTGTTGGAGCGCGTCCGTTTTTTGACATTCATAGTAAGGTCGTTCGGAGCCAAGATCGGCCTTTGGCCCGGAGGCAGGTGAGGAGGCAGGTCTTTTGCAAGCCGCCCCTTCAATGGGGCAAGATTCGCTCCCTGCCACTTGTGCATTGTTCGTCTCATCTGGTCCAACCGTGGCGCCTCCACCCGCATTGGCAGGCGCTGGCGTTGTGGAGTTGGAGGAGGAGATCATCGACAAGCCCAAGTTTCCCGACCCGTTCACTTGTCCAAAGACTCCAAGCCCACAGGACGGAACTGCTGCTTCGCACGGGGATTCCCGCAGGAATCCCCAAGGAAGAACACCGTGAACTTAGTTCAGATCCACCCCAACAGCACGAGCAAGTTGCTCCTGAGTACTGTCTTCTGCCCCGCCACCAGTCAGGTCTTTCGAGCGTACAGACGCACTTGCACCCCTCCAGCCGGACACCGCCCAGGACAGCACCTTTTTCCACGAGATTAAGCAATGGACACCTCGCTGGCCACACTTGGCGCCTTCCTTTCACAAAGCGACGACCGGGCATTTTGTCGGATGCCCAGCTCGAGGCATGTGCGGCCACCTTACCCGAGTTTTTGGGCATGGACACATGCACTGGCCATTCACCCCGTTGAGGGATGTGCAGTCCCAGCGCAGCATCGTCCTCCGAGTGCTCGTCGGCCTGGCGACCCCGACCAAAGGCAAAAGGCCTCAGGAACTCTCGGCAATAGACCGCCCAAGCCTCCCAGTCCCTACTAGGCCCTGCCCCAAGCCGGAACCTAGCAGGCTCCGCGGACCAAGCAACTTCCAGCGCTGACAGCCTCATCGTCCTGTCAGGTCTTCCTTGAGCCGGAACCCGACAGCCCCGCAAGAATTCGTACACCGCCACCTCCACATGACCAACCTAGCGAGTGTTTCAATGATATTTTGATCGAACACATCGATGCCAATGAATAAGCGGCCCGCCGTCCAAAAGGGAGCGCGCTTCTTCGTTAAAGACGTCGGAGACCGCTGCTTGGCGTGGGGAGTGCGGAGGAGTCAACTTCTATGGACGCCTAGCATGTACCGGCCTGACCCACCAACTTTGGTGCTGACGGCCACCCTTCTTAGAGTTTGGTGGTTGTACGGTGCACTGATAACGGCACCGTTCTCTTCATTGCTTCACAGCAATATATCTGGAGATAAATTGATTCCTGCAAAGCTGGTCTTGCCCGGTCCACTATGAAAGGAAATGATGCTATTCTGTGTTTTGCTCCACGCACAAGGTGGACAGATGAAGCAAAGAGCATGGTTAGGCATTTTAATACTCCGACAGCTGACCGGTGTTTTTTGGTTCAAGCTCTTGATAAAGGCTTGCCCAGACAGCGGTGCAAACTTTTCCTCTTCGGAAATTTCGACCCACCAAATCAAGAAACCAGAAAGTTTGCACCAGCGCCGAAAGACTTCCGTGTGAACGTCGCAGAAAAGCTGAATGGTGGCCAAAGAGTCGATGTTCGGGTGTGACGACGGGGGGCGACATGACCATCCACAGAGCCAGGGGTTTCCAAACCCACATGACCCATCGTGGAGTAAGTCTTTGAAGGAAAAACTAGGCCAGAGTGAGGCGCTGAAACGCAACTGAATTTTTTTGCTTAATTTTTCGTGTGTGGCCTGTGTCCAAGGCACTTGTTCTACTCATTCGATCGGCTTTGGAAGGAATTGGTTGCGGCAGTTCTCACACATATTAATGTTGGTTTGCACATGAACGCACGCCGTTGACCATGAGGGCATGTCGAAAACCACTTCCGGGGGTCCATCGGACCGAGGTGGACAATAGAATGAACCTGTTTGCGTTGGGTAGGTTTCCCGACTGCCTTTGTCAATTGACACATAGGTGGTTTTTAACAATCATATAGTTTGTTCATTACTAAGCAGTATGCCCCCAAGTGTACAACGAATACTGTAAGTTTATGGTACCAAACTGACAATACTTGCACAAGGATATTATTACTATTGTTTTCAAAACTGTTTGGATTTTCCATGGCCACAAACCATATCACCTTCGGCACTCCCTACTCTCGTGGTCTGATGTGAAAGAGCTCGTTTTTGCTCCCTCGAGCCGCATGGTGTGAAGGTTTGTGACGGAGGATGGTTGGCCATTAATGGATGCGGAACAGGCCCCGCGGTGGTTCGGGATGTGGCTGGTTCGGCAAGCTGTCAAAACTCATCAGTTCCTCTCACTTCGCAAATTTTCGCACTGAAGTGCTCCATGTGAGAAGCGGACCTTTTTCCCATTGATATGTCAGCCACTCTTGGAACTTCAATTTCATGGAGCGTGGACCTCACGGTGGCACAGTGGCCCCTCCAATGAACAATACGTACAAAGTAGACACGAATTCATGCACATGTTCCATTTGGATTCACTGCCGTGCTGGTCATGGTTCCTAGCAAGTGACCTCTCAACGACCTGGAAAAACTTATCCAAAGCGAGGTTTCGCTGTTTAGAGGAACCCAACGGAGCACATGGTCCTGCTTTGGACGCGCAAAGCAAATGGTGAGGGACCACCACCAAACCACATGACGCACTGCACTTGGTGGTCTCAGCGGCCACACTGCCAGATACCAGCCACCATTGGTATGCGAATACGCTGCTGGATGTTCGGCCTCCCCAGATGAGTGGAAAAGGTGTGGGGAGGGACCTGGTGGGATTGTTGGTAAATACCCTGTACAAAACCATATTGCCACAAAACTAGCAAATCTACTTGGTGAGGGAGCAGGGCAGACGAACCTGGCATGCGAACAAATGTGATTTCAGCGCTCTCGACCAACCTGATGAGGGTTCCTTGTGGTTTGATCTTCCCAACAAACCAGCAAGATGAGTGTAGAAGATAAGATTGACGCTCTTTGGATCAGGGTTTTCTCCAAGTTGAACAGGGTTTCCCCAGCCTCAGGGACAATCGCACGGGCCGCATTGCGTACATTCACAATGACTGGTCGCAGCCTGAGAAGACCCGAATTTCGATTTCCGCACCTCGCAGATGGCCGGCAGGCACTCCACGCCCGGAATTCGGGAGCATTATTTTTGACCGTGAAGAAGAGGTTTTGCCAGGTTTTGTCTACATTCCCTTCATTGCAAGGTCAAAGTGAAGTTATTCTTTTATCAATTTTCAAGACCAGTGCAATACTCCCCCCAAGTCACTCCTTTGTCCCGCCGGCGCTGGTGCTACATACCTGGCTTTGATCAAATTGACATCAAAAATCTCGACCCCTCTGTAGCCTCAGCTGCAACCTCGCAGGGTGCAGATCCTGTGTGCTGTAAAGACTTTCTTTTTCGCTGATGATATCAGAAGATCGTCATGGTTCCGACCCGTGAGAGGGGATTCACTTCTCCTCGGGTTTTGGTATAACTTTATTTCGAAAGCAAAGACCAACCTCAGGCCACAGCGGATTTGGGTCGAGTTCGATGATGGAGAGGAGAATGAGAAGGATGTCACCTGGTTCGTGAGCGGGGGCCCTCGGAGCTTCGTAGCCGGAGTCGGGCCGTGATTTCACCGGCACTTCCAGGACAATCTGTCGGATTTGAGCCGTGCCAAGCTGGGCCAAGCCAGGGCCCAGCTGTTCCAATCCCCCCCGGCCGAGGAACTTCTCTCGTGCAAGCTGAAACACCCGACCCGGGACGTGGTGCTTTCTGATCCGCCTTGCGAAGCACCCCAGAGCACCCAGCTCTTGGGCTCTTCGGCCGAGGCGAAAAGGGT